ATTACTGGAAAGGTTTTCGAAAGCTGCATAAGTTAAAATGTTTCGTCGGGTAATGCGTGACCGTATGATAACGTTGGGGCCTAAATGGTTTAGCAGATCCTGCACACAGGTCTGGTGAAATGACCTACATGCTATGCCAGCTTGTCTAAATTTCGGCGCATGTTGGTGATAGTCTGAAAGTGGTTTGATGAGGCTTTCAGTTCCTTCTGGATAGCCTGAGGATTGGTGAGCTTGGTGAAACCTCTTTTTGTAGGCACCAGTACGACAGGAATGGTGCTGACACCACTTCGGAAAAATGACTAACGGCAATTGATTACGTGACAATTACTCCAATCACGCATGTCGCACCTAGCCAGAAGAATTGGTCGACATCAGCACAACAGATTGAGGTAAATTCAAAAGCGAATAATCAGCTAAAGACTCTAAAACCAAACCTCAAAGCTAAGAAAAATGAATACTAAGGTAATCACACTACAGCGGTAAAAACAACATGGTAGAAACACGAGGGCCTCCGGCCAGGCTGGTGTTCCAAAACTGCGATCAACCCGAGCAACCGACGGCGGGCGTGCGCCACTTCGTTCAGTAGTCCCATTCTATCTTCCTATTTCTCATCTATTGTGTTCTACCTTGCGAATCTGTTTGCGATGCAATAACCAAAATGAAAACAACAATGGAAGCCAGCAGTTTCAATGAATGCTTCAGACAAATGGAGCAGTTTAAAAAAACCAACCGTCTACATGGAGTGTAATTATAGCCTTCATTTCTTTCCGAGTGTATAATGTTCAGAGTACATATCAATATAAGTATAAACTTAAGGTTGATTTTAGTGAAATAAATAATTTTACCGTAATGCGTTATTTTGACTTTTCTCGTGGATACTGCCACTTTTCTGTGCTAACTCATGAATTTTATCACCCTCGAGTGCTGGGTGCCACTGGCTGCTTTCCTTTTCAAAAAGCAAATACAGAAACCATGATTGGCCTAATTGTTTCTTTGACGGATAGCTTTACCAAAGAATGTCTTAAATAGGGGGCTGTGTTACTTTGTTCAAAACATAAACCCCTCAGATTAACAACCAAGATCTCAAAATTTTCCCTCAAAACTGGTCAAGTGGCTAAGGTACTCGGCTGCTGCGCTGTAGGTTGCGGGATTGAATCCCTGCTGTGGCAGCTGCAATTTCAATGGAGTCGAAAATGCTGTTTGCCCGTGTGTTCAGATCTGGGTGCACGTTAAAATATCCCAAGCGGTCAAAATTTACGGAGCCCTTCATCAAGGCGTCTCTCATAAATAAATGGGGGTTTTGGACTGTTAAACCCTCCATATCAATCAATTATCTACAACAAAAATTTAACACACTTCCGAAAACCTTCTTATTTACACCCGGAAACACTGTAGTGTCGCTGATTACATGGTGTCCGTTCGTGCACGGCCTTTCCAAATTGCTATTTGAAAGATAGCTAGAAGCGGCATCGCGCCACAAAGCGCTCCGCGAAACTTCTGCTGCGCAGCAACAACAGTAAATGCACTGCCTACGAGACGCGTCGCAGCGCTGGCGCGATAAAGAATGCTGGCAGCGGCGCAAAGCACCACATCTGTCGATGGTGAAAAGAATAACCTGCAAGGGACTGCCTGCGCTTTCCGCGCCTACCGTTTGCCGTTCAGTCTCTTCACACCAGTGTATGCAACCACAATGTGGTTAGCACATGGATGCTCATGCTTAACACTCGGGAAAGTGTGCTTGTGGTCAACTCACATAGCTGCAGTAGAATCCATGGCAAAGTGATGTGACATGAGAAGTATATCTAAATGGAATCTATCGATGACGTATACTTGGTTCATAACGTTGAACTGCAGAGCGTAACATTGCTACGGGACATAGACGAGCAATCAGAGCGCAGTAAAAACGCCATGCTGGCCAACTGTCCGTTGTGTTTGTTTTGTCAAATGGCGCCGGAACAGGATAAAGCAGTAGGTGCCTTGAACTGCCGCCTTGCGTGAGGATAGCGTATCACTAAAAGAAAGGTGCTCGGCCGCTGACCCGATGGTCGCGAGTTCGATCCCGGCAGCGGTGGTTGCATTTCGATAAAGACGATGTTGTTGTGGCTTGTTTACTGTGTGATGTGAGTGAGCGTTAAAGAACACCAGATGGTCAAAGTTTCCGGTGTCGTTCTCTAAGGTATCTCTCATTAAGATATCGTGGTTTCAAGACGTAAAACCCTGCATACTATTTTTAATCGAAAGGTCGTCAATATTTCTATGTGAAGTATTAGGGAGAATCGACAAACGATTTGGCCAAGGAATTGATTGATTTTTGGGGTTTAACTTCCCAAAACCACCATATGATTATGAGAGACGCCGTAGTAGAAGGCTCCGGAAATTTCGACCACCTAGGGTTCTTTAAAGTGCGCCTAAGTCTGAGCACACGGGCCTACAACATTTCCGCCTCCATCGAAAGTGTAGCCGCCACAGCCGGGATTCAATCCCGCGACCTGCGGGTCAGCAGCCGAGTACCTCAGCCACTGGACCACCACGGCGGGGCAACCATTATGCCAAGGGAAATATCGGGGAATTAATTAGTAGTAATTCTAACATAAATGATAAGACAATTGGTGAAAATGATAACCCTCCACTGGCAGAGGCTATGTTTTTCTTGCCACCATTGTCTGCTAGTTCCATTTATACTGCGTCTAATAAAGAACTACGAATTTTTATATTTCTGCTTATTTTCTTCATTTAAATGTGCAAGTATTTTAGGCAACTGAAGGAGAAAGTTGTATGATCGTCGTTCCCTCCTGTGTCACCACACATTTGGAATAAATGGGACCAGCCATGTATAAAACAAAATTCATTTTCTTGGCGGTGTTCGAGCGAATGGAGCCAATCACAGAATCAGAGGGGTTTACCCACTGAGCTAGACACCTGCGCTTTGTGAACGTGAACATATCTGAACCATGTGAATGTCATGTTCCACTTCCAGAGGTGCATTGCTAACGCAAAACAAGAATTACTGTAAATGCTTTGCTAAAACAATGTGGGCGCGTGCTGATACATTATATCGCTCTATGATTGAGCATCACTTGGCACACTGCTTGCGCAGGAGATTCTGCATGGTGGTTGGAGGCTATCAGTAGTTCGATTTGATCAATGCACTCGATGCATCCTTTGAACATGTGAACGAGGTATTGTGGCACTGCACAGGAGAAAATTGTTAGTGTGGCTTCAAGAACAGCCAAGTGTCGCTTGGTGAGTACTGCTGCGTATGTGTCAGTGAGCCGTTTTGTTCCTTACGAAATTCGCATACTAAAGTAACGAACACACGGTATTGAGATGTCCCACTGCAACAAATGAAGGCCTATAAGCACATTGGTTTAACTTTTATTGCGATGACAGTTATATGGGTACACAAGACATAAGTTCGCCACATTTCTGTTCAGTTGAAAGCAAAAATAAATGGCATCATTCTGCGCATCGTATGTTCTAGCCACGAGTATAAAGGTTACACCTTTGCCGCCAAGGGGAATCAATGAACGCGATAGCTAAAGTTAGAAGGTGACGCACAAAATGGCAAGCAGATCAAAACGTGCGCTGTGTTTCTCACACACAAATGGCGCAGAAAACGTACTAACAGTTTCAGATAAACGCAAATAAGCATCTCAATTGTTACTTCGCAGTGTCTGAAAATCACGCGCTTTTCACCAACGGAGACTGTGCAATAATGGCGGTGACAATGTTGCACTCGGTAACTACAACAGAATCATTGCAGGCAAAGATGAGGCCAGCTAAGACGTTCGATCCTTCTACCACGCTATAAGGGCTTGCAAAAGGGCGTCACCTCCCCCACCATTTCAGCGGGGCAAACTACGCGTGGCAAATGAGAGCGCGTGCCACCGTGTCGTGACGACGTAGCGACGCACGCTCAATTCGCCATCTTGCTAGTAATGCTGGAAATAGGATAATTCCCCCCGAGATGCCCGTGCACAGCGGTAAGTGATAGATATAAAGAGCTTGCCGTTGGAACGTTGCAGGAGGTTCTCCTCTGAGACTAAGTAATTGGAGCGTTGTATTCATGTTGCATAGGTCCAACGTTTGATTCCGTGCGCCAGAGTCTATTTCTCGCTTATTTTTCTTGCGTTTATTTATATATAGATAATTGTACATATACGGTGAGTGACGCTGACGTCGGCGGCAAAGTCCAGTGGAGAGTGTTCATATAACTGCTATTAAAATAAAAAAGCACCTTCGCGGCTCCGGCGAACGCTGCTGCATAATAGAATAAGTGAACCGGTCATCTGCAATAAGCGGATGGTGCATGCGATAACATAAGCCGGTGTTCGAAGACTGCCGTGGATTGCTTCTCAAGCGCGGAGGAAACGCTTGAGAAGCGCGGAAGAAAGCAGGCACGAAATGGCAAGGGATGAGGATAAGGAATGGGAGAGGCTGGGGGTGCGTTGCTTGAGCAGCACCTGCGAACTTTGGTTCTAAGGACATGGTTGGGAACTCAAGCAAGCGCTATTCTGCTAGACAGGAGTAAACAGCTCATACAAGGTCTTCTCTGTCATGTACTTCGCCTTAAGACAACAGAAAATGCGGGGATCATTTCACTCCTTACAGAGGCCTTAATTTTTTCGCAGAGTTGCAAGTGCTGGATCCAAAAGAGTAACGTGCTATTCTCACGTTTTATGACATCACAACTTGTTATAGCATTCGTCGCTTCACCCTTCCTTCGAATGTGTGTTTTCTTAAAATAACAATTTCCATGTGTGCTCTCTGTTAGCAGGTCTACTGTGCTAGCTTTTCATCAATATAAGCGTCACAGCAAATTTAGCCTATCTCGGAGGGGGGCTTTGCGTTCGCTTCCGCCTTGCCAGGCCGATTATTACCCCATTTTCTTAAAAAGAACGAACAAAAGACGTCCAGTTCTAAGCAGTTTAATAAACCTATTCACAACGGTTTTCAATTTTGAAACCACATGTGTATTTTATACTATTTCTTCCTGACAGAGCCATTATTGACACAACAACGCAATACTACACGCTTCCATTCTACCATGCCGTGTGCTTTTTCTCGGGATGCATTACCTTCAATTTTGTTCAACAATACGGCAAGACTAAAATCTCGAAGGTGAGTCAGCCACATTTTGTTGAGCTGTGCTTGCCGCACGCCCGATGGTGAACTTGTTTTCTTGTGAAGCAGGATTCGAGCAATTTGAAAAAGTCCCAATAGTGATATTCACCTCCCAGAATTATGGCGAATGTGCGTGACGTTGCTATATAATTAAGAGCACGGTGCTGTTGTGCTTGAGGACAGATGTGTTAGCATTGTAATCCCGGGGGCAATATATAGAACCCCCCCCCCCCCCCCTCCCAGGTGGACGTACAAAAGGTTTGTTATGGTCTAACAAGATAGTCAATCTCAAAAATTGGCAGAATAACTGAATTTATTCACCACTACTCAGCCTGCTTACATAAATGCAATTTGTCTATTAGTTCCTAAACTCTGCTTTTCAGTGAGGGCCGATGTCTAATTTACATGCTTGATGTCGCTTCCCCACTTAAATAACGAAAAAACCTGAAGAATTCAAGCAATGTAGAAGTTCACAAGATGGCGTGTGCCTTGATATATTTTTAATGCCCACGGAACGACATGCTGTTAAACTACGCTGTTATTCATTGAGCCTATCTCGTGCAGATCTTTACAGTATGAAAAACGGTCCAGGGCTCATCAACGCTAACCTAGTAGACACTTGGTGCATTCCGACGATGTCCAATTTTGCATTTAAATGCAGTTTCTTGAAAGTAAGATCAGTTTTCCTGGCGTGTTGATAATGGTCGTAGCTTGCAGAACACAACCGCCGAAAAATAAAAAAACTGGTTGTTTTGTTACATCTGAAACACTGTTTTACTTCTTCGATGACTTTAAGCGTATCAATTGATCTCTCTATTAAGCTAGGCGTCGTATCTAGCGAACGACTTTTAGCTCTCCTGGCCGTTTCGGTAATGAAATTGATACCGAAATTCTTATGGCATAACATAACTATCGGACGAGCATAATTGACTACTTGTAACAAGAATATCATGACATGTATGTCATCAATGTCATGATTTACATTTCATGGTCTTGCTGCTCTTGCGGTGGTTATGTTTCATGACTTGCTGCAAAACTGGTATGGTATAACTTGACTACTTGGTAAACACAAGTATTGGACTCTAACGTGAAAATGATGACGTGCATGTCATGTGTGTCATGACTACATGCCACGTTCATAGTCCCTCACGGTCGTTTCTCTAGCTTTGCATATACCAAACTTGATATTACGTGACGTCAATGTATAACAAAGGTACGTGACTGGGGCAAACATGATAATATTGAGATATTATCAATGATAAGTGGCATGGAGTCATCTAACAACATGACTCCATGCCACGCTCAAGATTCGCTCGTGGTCGTTTCAATAGCTTCACACATATCAAATTTGGCAGTACGTGACGCGAACGGACAGCGAAAGTAAATGACACGTCCAAACATGTTGATTATGACATGCGTGTCATGTAATACATGACTACATAATGCGCTCACGGCCGTTTCAACTGCTTCACATATACCAAATTCAGCATACAGCGCGCTATGGTTGTGGCGTGTAGTCATGTTTTACATGAAATGCATTTTTATCATGTGTGGGCGTGTCATTCACCTTCGTCGTCCGTTCACGTCACGTAATACGGATCTTGGTATATGTGGAGCTAAGGAAATGGCCGCCAGCGCGCTATCAGCGCTGCATGTTGTGGTGTTCTTACAAGACACGCATGTCACGACTGTCGTGTTTGCACCAGTCATGTATCTTTGTCATCCATTCAAGCCTCGTACTAGCAAATTTAGTATAAGCGAAGCTAGCGAAACGGCTGCGAGCTCGCTATGAGCGTAGCATGTAGCCATGTTTTACATGGCACGCACTTCATGGTTATCCAGTTTTGGACGTGTAATTGGCCTTCGTCGTCTATAAACGTCACGTAATAACACATTTTGTCTATGTGAAGCTATTGTGAAATGACCGTGAGTGCACCATGAGCGTATCGCATGTAGACATGACTTATTTGACAGACATGTCTTGCTATCGACGTTAGGGTCTATCACCTATGTTCGCCATACATTATTGTTATACCATACTGGTTTTGCAATATGTCGTGCGAACGAAACCGTCGCGAAAGCAGCAAGATTATAAAATGTATATCATGACATTCAATACATACTTGTCATGATTTTCATGTTATGGGGTAGTCTTTTGTGGTCATCATACCGTGATATTATGCCTTACCAATTTGATACTGATATCACTATGTAAGTGGCGAAGAGATCTAAAAGTTCTACACGTCTAGATAGAAAGATAGATAGATAGATAGATAGATAGATAGATAGATAGATAGATAGATAGATAGATAGATAGATAGATAGATAGATAGATAGATAGATAGATAGATAGATAGATAGATAGATAGATAGATAGATAGATAGATAGATAGATAGATAGATAGATAGATAGATTCTAAACGTGCTTGGAGGACGCAAGGAAATGCTTCCCATTTAAACGCGCGTAGGTGAAACAAGAGAGAGAGGGACGTCGGTATGACAACTGACTCTTCTGCAAACTGCGCACCCGCAGTGGTTGTAGGATCTCCCTGGATGGTTTACGCAGACACTCAAGGCTTAATTCCACACGTTTTCGGAAACGCCTAAGTGACACTGAGAAAAAAGAGTAACTTGATTCGAAGAGAAACGAATAATAAATAACAGTAGGTTTCAGATATGTATATAGTGCAGCGGTGTTAACATATGTTTCAGGTGCCCACTTAAGTGGGGTGCTTTAAGAAACGTAATGGTATTCGTAAATGAGTTTTGTGTTTTCGGTTGTTAACTGCTGTACTTTGTTCCCGCGGGGTTTACGCAGTCTATCCAGGCATTCTTATGGTGTATTGCCTTATGCTGTGGCCTTTGCTGCTTGTACATGAAGCTCGACTGGAACCTCAATGGAGGACAGGCAAGCGAAACTAAAAGGATGTTCGCTGCGTTTTTCGACCGCGTTCTGTGGTCTGTCTGTATCTCTTGGTTCTCGTTCGCCTGCACCACAGGTAGAGGAGGTAAGACGACATGCATGAAAATCTGTGGTAAGTTTTGAGAGTGTGGCTGTACTTAAAGATTATTGGTATGTAAACTACCACTAGTAGAACCTTAGTACTTTTCATGTTTTTTGAGGCCTCTTTGAGGCTTTTTTTTCTCAGACGCTATTTTAAATACAAAGCTCTCGTGATTGTTTCATTTTATTCGTCAGCTTATTTCTTGTCACCGAAATATGTATTACCAATTCATTTCAAGGGTCCATATTGTGGCAATTTTTCAAGCAATGGAAACAAGTAAAAAATTGTTTTTTGAAATACCGTCAAAATAAATTAGACTACTCTGCAAACGTATAGGTTTTATTATCAGTACTTTTGTAATGATGTTTGTTTTATTCTGATGAAAAAGTCATCTTTTTATGCTTTGCATTAGCTGAGATAATCGCACAAATGTACAAAAGTTAACTTTAAAGTTAACATAGGAGAACGTGTTCATTCTATGTTTATTTCAAGAAAAAGACGTACTGAACAATTTAATTATTCACAAGCTGCCTTACAGTTACCACAAAAACAGTCTTTTCAACTCTTTGTCCTGCTTTTTTTGTACCCTGGTTTGTTTTGCCATATCATGCATCTTCTTTGCACCAGTACTGTCGATGGCAATCAGTCCCACGCCACAAAATAACAATGCTGCGCCTTTATGATTTTCTAAACAGCTTTCAGATCGTTTACTTTACCGAGGCAGGATTTTTGTAAAGTTAGAGTGTCACCATTCTGAAAGATTTTCTTTCTGATGAACGTATTTTACATTGTTCTATACGATTGCCATAGTACGAATGCATTTTGTGCAGACACAGTTACTCGCAATCACTGTTTTTATAAGCTCCACATCGACCAACGCATAGACAGTTTCATTGCAGGTAACACTTTGTCGTTGCGGCCACGCGTAATGAGGACAACGCTTACTTGCTTGAGTATTTGCTGAAGTGTTCGCATCAGTGCTCCAGGTCGAGTTTTAGCTTGTTACTGAAACTTCTTTATTTCCAATTATACTGCGATCTCTACAGTTTCTTTGATTTGTCCACACATGAATATATTCGCCGTCAAAACTAAACTAAAAAAATGTAGAGATCATCATCTCCCTGTGCGTCTTTCACGCTTGAAGTGAGTGGACTTAGTAACTTCCATGCGTGTTAAAAAAAATAGAAAGATGCAACGTCTGTTTTAAGTACCTAGAATATTTTCTAGGCAAACTACGTGCTTTGATTTCTTCAGTTTCACGCAGAAAGCTCAGGCTGTGCACCATCAAAGAAAACAGGGCTCGCTTCTTGTCAGTTGGTATCGAATACATGGTCTTTTTGGCTCAATCGAATAGCCTAAAAATGTGTGCGACATCAGACAATGTTGACACAAACTCGTAGCGTTTCAAAGAAGGCAAGAACAAAATTTACATTTTTTTCTAAACATTTATACTACCCTGTGCCTTTAGGGTAAACTAGTTTTACTGCTACTTGCGAGCTTCAGATTATTGCACCTAATGATCCCTACTTACGGACATCAGTGCTAATCTTAACTTCCGAAAAATCATGAGACTTAGTCAATTAAAATGCTTTAGGCGTGGCTTAGGTTTAGGAACCCCTGTAATTTGACATTACCAATTGAACGTTCACAAACAACTTGAAAATACTTCCGCAAAATGCTGTAATTAACCTAAGAGCGTAAACAAAGCGGCACTGTATGTACTCACTACCGCAGTTGAACCACGCAATGACATAGACAGACGACCATCAAATGCAGAAAGGGTGGAGCTCAGATTTCTAATCACTCTCTTTTTTGTTCTTAAGCTAAAAAAATTTGCCCCATATCTGCATGGTACACTGCAAACGTCGTCGGAAGACGATAGTCTTGCGTCTGGAGAAAGTGAACAAAACGTTTATTTGGTATTCTGCACAAGAAAATTGGTTCCTCAAGCGTGCAACGAAGGCAAACTAGCGTATCAAGTCACGCCACACGTGAGACATGAGTGCCATCTGGCAGTTATCTTGGAAAACAAAGCTTGTGGCTCTGAGACGAGCGTGTGCGCCCATCTCAGGGGTGATAAGGTGTAGAGCGCAAGGTGACGGGTACGTGCCACCACCGTGTCATCTTAGCAAAGCATTGGAAACACTTGCCTCTTCGTGCAAGCGTTGCATAGTCAGCGCTGCGTGATAAACGCTACGGTCCTTAGAATTACTTATACATGCCCTTTCTAGTTAAAGACCCACATACAGAATATATACGTGTTGTTATGGTGCCTCAGACATGCGCAATAATTGCTTTTTAATTGACAATCGCACAAGTATTAACGCTGAATTTTGAGCAATATTGGTGGGTGCTGCGGATGGGGTCGGCCATTTGAGCATAATTTGAACGGTGCCATTCAGAGTACCCGGCACCGTTAAAGGTGGACAAACAGACAAATGTACAGACAGAACGACAGACAGACAGACAGACAGACAGACAGACAGACAGACAGACAGACCAAAATTTTTGCGTCGGAGGTCCCCAAGAAAGACTATCGTCTTTAAAAAGAACAAGCACTTGGTGTATCGACCACAATAATATCAACTGAAGATCGCATGCGTTCCAGCTATCAGCGGAGCCCGCTTCTTTCCTCTATGGGGCGTAGGCTGAAGTATGCCGCCACATTCTGTCTCCTGTGCTTTTGTAACACACTTCGGGTGAGGCCCCACCGATCTAACATCGACGTGCGGCAGACTCGCTGGCTTACACTTTACGCTTCAGCCTGCGACGCCTGAAAGGCCTCGAAGTGGTACATCCCAAATTTATTAGCAGGTCGATCGACCCGTGTTGGGTTTCACGTGTGGTGACGTATGAGTCTGACTGACGCACTCATAGAGCAGACACGGACATTCAATTTAACAAAAAAAAAGCATTGAATTAAAACAAGGGCAATAGACAGAAGATTACAAATAATAACTTAAGAGAAAACAACAAAAGTTCGCGCGACAGATAAGAACAGCTAAGAAACAAACTATTCTCTAAAAGAACATTACAACAGGTACAGACAAAACACAAATAAGTGGAGTGTTAACCAAATAAGAACATGATGAAACTGAAGGAGATACGGAGAAAATTTACAAGAAAACGATCGTGGTCACGCTTCCGAATTTCTAAGTGCGACGCAGTGCACACAACTACAAATAAGTAAAAGCTGGTTTTAATAAAATAGCAGTTTAAAAAAGTCACAATAAAAAGTTCCATACGAACCACGCCAGCTCTAGGTACACGTAGGGGAGTTGACGGGGTGTCGCTGAAGATCTCGCCAGCATAATAGAGGACCAGGGTACCCGGTACTGGTATTGCAGCCGTCTCAATACGTTGCCCGGGTCACTCCATGCTCGCCGCCTATACGAGACTCACGACACCTACGACAGCACTTCTTGCTGGCTGCACGTCAACTGCCAATTCTGATGCAATCCAAACTCTTCCGGGACGTCCCGTTCCTTCTAGAGGTCATTTCTTTTTACTCGACACATGTTCTCCTTGTGGTACAGGTGTAGGAAAGACGCGCGGCGGCGCCGCCGGAAGTCATCCCAACACAAAGGCACCCTTCTTTGAACGATGGGGCGTGTGGGTGAAACGAGGAGTGTAGACGTTTGTGACACAGCCCCCTCCTCAAGATTATTGCTGCGTAATATTCAAGGAAACCGAAATTGCGCACTCTTCGACAGTTTTTCGTAATTCAGTCGTCACCCAACGCGTTTTCTTTTTCGCGCACCATTTCGCTAACGTGGACGACATCGCAGAGAACAAACGACACGCTATATTTCAGACTCACTATACGATGAAAGTCATAACGCGCGCACCATGACATGGCCACACACGTGAAACAAGAAATAACACACACTGCTAAGATCGAGGGAGCTGTATTCGAAGCACTCCTTCGGGCGATCATGACACGGATCACAAGATAATCACTACACATAATTCTTCTAAAACAAAACATTTACCGGGCGATTCCAAATCAAAGTGATACAAAAAGGTTTCAGATAAAATTATTAAGATACGACGCATCAATGTATGCAAAAATTTTTAAATGTGGCAATATGGCTTGAATGAAACAAACCAAAGAAAACGATGTCATAGGCCTCTATGCACAACGCGATAATCTGCGTTTCATTGAACCTAAGTACACTCAGGCCTCCTCATCATCGACTCAGCTCAAGTAATCTGCCCCTACATTCTCTGAGCCCTTTATGCATTGTGCTCGGAAACTGTATTGTTGGAGCTTAAGACTCCAATGAAGGACTCGTCCATTGAAATATTTCGCCCCCTGAATGAACTTTAGAGGTTCATGATTCGTCTGAACAAGAAAACGTCTCCCTTACAAGAAAGCCTGGAACTTTTCCACTCTCCAGACAAGAGCAAGAAGTTCCTTGTCGACAGTTGAGTACGCTACCTCTCGGGGAAGCAACTTTCGACTAGCATAGGCCACGGGTGGAGACTCTGCTCGTGTTCTTGGAGGAGCAGCGCTCTGATTTCCCTGTCCGATGCGTTAGTCAGTATGACAAACTGTCGTTCGAAATCTGGAAGCTTCAGCATGGGTGTGGTCGTCAGGCATTTCTTGAGCGGAACGAACGGCTCTCCTGATCCGGACCCCATTTCAAAGCCCCTATCCGGTGAGGTAAGACAACGGGCTTGTCAATGTTGCATAATCGCTAATGAAATCTCGGTAGTATCCCGCTAGGCCAAAAAACGATCGCACCTGTCACTGCGTCGCCAGTCACCGGATGTCATCATCCCAACACAGAGGCGCCCTTCCTTGGACGACGGGGCACGCGGGTGAACCGAGGATGGCAGACGTTTGTGACAGCTTTCCTGCTTCCCTCCTTGATGTTTTCTCATTGGTATCGATTGCCATATACAGCCGTCCCCTGTTTTTCACACAGCTAATTTGATCACAGTAAACTTGAACGACTTCTCGGCCTTTATTAAGAAATTGAAATCTCATGTAACAGCCAGGCATTGCTCTGACTAGTGCCGCAAGGCAGAAGACACAGCCAAGTTGATCGGTTTCAAGCTGGTCTTCGCCATATGTTGTACGGCTAACTAACGCCAAGTGAAATGAAGTAGTGCCAAGGAATGCCAAGTTTCAGTCGAGTCCAGCGCAGTCAATTCTCGCCGTTTTGACTTTGCTACGTAGTGAAATATAGAAAACAAGTCGGATCCAGCAGTCCCACTTATCAGCACAACCTCAATGCTCGGTAAGCGCCTTTCTCATCGGAAGTGCAAACTTCCTTTGGTTATACCGTATGTGCGCTGGGCGCTCCACCACCACGCGCCTTTCACTATGTGGCAGCTATATACGAAATGAAGGAGCGCAAGCGCATGCAGTTGATCGTGACGTCTCGTCTGGGTTAACGAAGTTGTGGCGCGCATTGTACGGGCAGCAGTCGAGCTGGTTGCTTAGCCGTCTATGAATCAGCGAAGCTGACACAACCTTGCAAGCGATTTAGAGACATAGTAGCGTGGACTTTTCGACTACGTTGGACAGACTAAGGCTGGCTAAAACAGCTTCGTTCTTAAAAACACTGCTGACTGAGCAAAATGGGGAGCAAAAGTCTATTTCAGTGAAGAGTAAGCACTTTTTTGAATATTGTAGATGTCATATTAGTAGCACCTGTCAAAATATGGTTGATTGAATGACAAAAACGAAGGTAACGTTCTAGACAGTGGCAATTTTGGGCATCTCATCATAACTTAATCTGAATGGCAGCAAAGAAATCGGTGGTAAGATTGAAACCATAATGGGCAGAGATAAAAAAAGGAAAAATTGTGGAAACAGAGCAGCTAATTCGATGAGAGGCTAGCCTACATACTAGTGTGAAAGAAAGAATGCGTGATAATGATGATATGTGGGGTTTAACGTCCAAAAACCACCATATGATTATGAGAGACGTGGCGCCGCAGTGGAGGGCTCTGAAAATTTCGACCACCGGAGGTTCTTTAACGTGCACCCAAATCTGAGCACACGGGCCTGCAGCATTTTCGCGTGCATCGAAACTGCAGCCGCCGCAGCTAGGATTCGATCCCGCCACCTGCGACAAAAGAATGCGGAATTCTCATTCTGCTGTCGCTCTACTAGACAAGACAGCGACTGTTGAGTGCATCGATAGCTGGGACAATTATACTATTCTCTTTGTTGCAGCAGCGCCTACCCATAAGTAGTCAGCTTCAGAACAAGGTACTTAACAACATAATAAACATAGGAAAGAGAAAGAGAGAGATAAATGCGTCGACATCATATGAACAATGAAGATGAAACTCTGTCTGTATTGATGATTTCTGGAAAGGTTTGAGCCAAATGTAATTCTACGGCTTGTAGCAGGGAAGTTTCAGTTGCGTGCTAAAAACAACAGCAACCAACTTCTCAGCGAATGGTATTGTACTGTCTTGAGTACGCCTGAATGTAACACGGGTGAATGTGCCATTAGAGGGCTTTCAGCAGGGACTACTTTCAGCTACGCGAGTTTCAGCACATGCGCAGTTTGCAATTGGCGTGACTACTCTATCACGTATTGCGTCATTGGAAAGCACTCTCATAAAATGAAAAGGTGGTCACCGATGATGGGAAGCATCCGATAACAAATTAACTACGCCCCCAATGAACAACGTAGATTTTCGGGAAGCAGTGTCCACACTGGCATGTTTTTCAGCGCACGAATAATATTATAGAAAAAAAGGACACAGTGGACAGAAAGACAGCTGGTGTTGTTGTAGGAGTACACAAACACACACACTGTATATCTATATTTGTATATATATATATATATATATATATATATATATATATATATATATATATATATGAAGAGAGTGTGTATAAGCAGCTCCGCTCTTGTTTGAAAGGTATGGTCGGTTGCAGTTGCAGTCGTTTCTTCTTGCCCTGGCACAAGGGATTTCATAACAAGTGAGGTAGTCTAGGTAGGGAATGAGTTTGTGAAATGTCCTGGAAAGGTTTGATCCATGGAAGGTCACAAATGTTAATATACGGACGTGAGAACGTGCCGCGAGTGCTGGCCATATATTTTCGGCACTATTTATCGGTAAACTGCGCAATTATTTCGACTAATTCTATGTTTGCGCAAATAAGTGTTGGTGATCTTCAGGGATCTTTGTTTTTTCCTTCATATTTCTGTTTGTGTAGGGTAACACAACTACCGCCTGTATTTGTGGTTGTGAGTCAACGGAGTCTCCGTTTCATGGCATAGACAGCACCTGTTTCTCACTAACAAACTATTGTTTATTTTGTTTCTCAACTTTCAATGAACTGCTTTTACTCGCTCGTTTGTTGCCCACTGATGCATGAAAACAATGCGTACGTTGAGAAGCTGGTGCATTTCTTTGTTTTATTTTTTTTTCAATAATGCTCTAGCGTTAGACAGCTCATTTCACAGAAATATAGGTGTCGGCCTCATTGTTGGCGTGGGGGTCGTTGGTTGCAAGCAAAAAATCGTCATTGTCTGAGTGAACGAAAAATTGAGAAAAATGCAAAAAAATATTTAAAATATCCACGTCTGAGTGAGAATTGAACGCAAGCCGTTTGCGTTCCAAGCACGTGATCTACCACACATTTATCCGTCTAATTTGAAATACAATGAAAATCATTTACTCCGTTTTCTGTTAGAAACTGCAGTGGAAACAACGTTCACGCTTTACAATCACGCAGGTCCTTTACACAGGCTACATAATACTACAAGATATGTTGCAGTAATATTGCACGGTACAAGCCCATTGGGCGTCAGAAATTGTGATTATCCTTGGAAGTACGTGTTTCATTACAAAAGGTGCACACGTTACTGTGCGTACTCCCGTAGGACCACATATAGGGTTCATATTAACTCATGGTTTAAAGCAAATTACCCATTACACAGAATGCCGGTCTTATCCAAAACCTGCACTGGCACTAGACTCTTTCCTATTTATTGATTAGCTCGTAGTATACCGCAATTTAAACTTCTGTAGTAATATCATACAAGAAATATTAGAAACATTATACAATAAATATGGTAACAACATAGAACAAATATTACGCACTTACTGATTGGTGTACGCTTTAGGGACAGAATATCGCTGTTGCGTTGAACTCTAAAAGGCGAAGCTTAAGGTTCCCACAATTTTTGGGGGGTAAGCTATGGTACTTTCTTACATTTAGGTGACAAAAGGTGAAAATGACTCGAAAGTTTCCTCTCTCAGTAAACCACGTAGCGCGCCCGGGCGTGAGCCTATCATCGACACAGGAGGTGATGCATATTTTAACGCGATAGTGCTAGAGAGGTCGTGTCGCAGAAAACCCGCCGCCGGCGTTGGCCCCGCTGGGTGTGAGCGAAAAATTGTCTGTGCGTGTCTGACTCAAAAATCAAGTTACCAAGATAGCCGCGGGAGGTCGCTACTTGTGCACGCGTGCGCGCCCGATCACAATGAAAATGCCGCGAGCTCGAAGAAAAAAAAGTGCTCGAGGTCACGATGCGTGGTAGTTTTTTTGCCCTGCCACCCCTCCCTGAAAATCTTTCAGCGCTTTTGTGTGGACGAGAGAAGAGATAATGCAATTGCAGCATGCGACAAGCCTTTGTAACTCATTCGCAGTGGACACATTCTTAAAATTTTGCGGCGTTAAATTAATGAGAAAATAAGCTCTTCTAGTGGATTCTTTCCATGTGATCTTGAAAAAGTATTTCAGGGTCTCTTTAACGCGGTGTGTTGGACAGGTGTCACGACGAAAAGGAGCCCATCTGGCGACATAGCACGCATTGGTCCAATGTACTGTGCGCGTGTTTGTGTGCGTGTGTGTGTATCTAACAAAACATATTATTAAGTATGCACTAAGCTGTTGAAGGGTGCATTAGGGACCGATTTCGCCGTCGCGTTAAACTCTTAAAGGCAAAGCCTAAGCGTCCCCCAATTTTTTTTATCTTTGTGTGCTTATGTGCCTTTGTCGCGAAATTCTCCCTGGCGTTGACAAATGTAGGCAGCGAAATGAGAAGTTATAAAAACACTAGAAAAACAGAAACATGGTTTTTGTTTCGCTATTAGAAATGAATTGGCTTTGTTGCATATCATTCCATGGCTTGTGAGAAACGGTTCTTGACCACGTGAAATATTGTCCTGAGATATTTGTTCTACACACGAACCCAAAGACCTATTTTTGTGTTTTTACTATTCGGCTTTGATATCGCACACCGCATAAAATACAAACCGCCCTCTTACAGAACTTGTAACCTCACGACAGGTGTTTCGCCTCTTCGGTGTAATGTAGTGTTCTGTAAATGTTCGGGTTCTACAAAACCGGTGCAGAACCGAAATAAATGTCTGGTGCCATTTGCTGTGCTGTGCAAGTGAGGAAGTTCTCGTTCGTGCTAACACCACTACGTAAACTGCTGCGATAACCATGTTGCGCCAAGCTACGAGACTAATTGATCGACCTGGAACATCGTGTTAAATAAAAGTTATAAAAATCTCAGAAAATAAGAAATATGGCTACAGGCATAGACTATTTGCACTGTACTAAACAAGGCTTTACTTGGCTGCTTATGTTCATTCGCCCATCTGGCCTTATTCTATTGCATTTATCTGTATGGGACGATGAAAATAAACGCCGAGTACGACAATGATCTCCTGCAGCTTTGCACTTTCAGTTTCTCACAATTTTTGCGTATTTTCTAAACAAGGTACATATATAAAAATGTAAAGAAGTAGTTCATGTACGTTTATGTTGCACCGGTAGTAAGTTATACACAGTGTAGAAAGCTTGAATCTGCCCATAGTCTGCGTTTGTGCACTTACAATATTTTTGCGATGCAGGATTTGTCAACCAGTTTCTTTCGTGGAATGGATTCGTGCCACTAGCACGGCTCTCCTTCGGCGTATACCTCGTACACCTCCCTTTCTATCATCTAATGTACCGTATAGGCAGAGAACGCAGTTTCTATTCTCACTTCACGCTGGTGAGTAAAGGTTTTATATTGTTAACACATATCATTAAAGAAAAGAATTGTTAGAAAATCGATATTATTGTAAAACGCAAGGCATTTTTTCGCTTCGGCTCATAACTTACTACACTCTATTTGTAGAATATAAACTTTGCATATTATTGTGCACTTAAAATGAATTTGATCTTAGAGTATATCATGCGCACAACAGTTTTGAGCGGGGATATACGAGTGAAATGTCGATTGTAAAACACTGCATGCTTGGGTTTGGCAAACAGTTCTTGCCCAATCAACTGTGATTGTCAAACAAGTCTGTTAGTGTCTCTTTTGTTAGTTATATGCTACGTTTGGCAATAGAGTAGAATTTTTTATGTCCACTTTTCTTTCTTCGTCTGTCCATTTACCATTTCGAAAATAATCGCCAGTATTGAGACAGCGAGGCTTACTGTACCCGTGAGATAGATCTCGTGTTGAAATCATACAAATTTCGAAATCACTGCGTACCACTAGAAACCCTAGAAACCACACATTGAACGAGATAGCAGAGACTCTTACCAGCACTGTCTCAATTTAGCGCGTTTCATCTGTCTGCAGGGTTCAAACCTGGAAATACTCACAAAAATACGAAAGATGGTGTGCAATGTAAAAGGGGCAGAGTGACAATGGGGAATATACTGTAAGCTATCGCACTGCTTATTTCAAATCACAGTGTTTTGAACGCGTACAAAAGCACACGCAATGAAAAAAGAAAGCAAGCTAGAATGCGCGATTAGTGCGGCGTCTTCGCTTGTCTTGTATATGTTAACTTCTGCAGATTACGAAATGCTTCACGCTAGGATTGGGCATTACAGGAGACACATATGATGCATGATTATGGTAGTAGTGATGATATCTATATATACGAACCCATTTGAAGGTTCGCAAAAAAACGAAAATGTCCTGAAGAAGAGCGGCCGTCAAAAAAGTTGTGCTTGGAGCGAGTTTTCACGTACACACATTTAATGAACCATCACTGATCGCGTAAAATGAGTGTGGTTCACCCGTCGATGCAGAACACGCAAAGTCAAATTTTAAGTGAGCCGTGAAACACCTTTTCAAGTAACCATGAAATGAACTCATTTGAACCGCCTATTGCCTCACGAATTCAGCCGCAAAAATATTAGGAATTGTTTTACTGCTAGCAGAGCTACAAATATTTGTCGCATGCAGCAAGTGAATTCTCTCTCCTCTCGGCCGGGGCAAAGAAAAAACGTCACGCGTGCCTGGTGACCTTAGCGCTTTTTTTTTCTTTCTTTAATATACGGATTTTTCAGTGTGATAGCGCGTGAGGCCGCGTGCTGCGCGATAACATTTGGCTCGCGTGTTGTCGGAAGCCTCTATTACCGATCGGCAGCGTTTTCTGAGCATGCTCAAAAAGTGTTAGAAGGCACCGTTACTTGCTCATATCAGATGGAGAGGACGGTCCTCTCCTTAGCACCTGCACTTTTTTCTGGTGAAAATATAACAAAACGTTACATATTGTTTAAACTATGAATACGAATTGTTTTGAAAGGTTTTCAAATCTTTAAAATATGTAGTTTATAATAAAAATTTACAATGGTTCCCAGTGCTCCCCTATTGCGATGCTTAACTATAGTGACTGGTCTCAAAAAGCAGAATAGGAAAGAAGGCGATCAATCTTAATAACTTATAGGTCGAAGGCAATGAAAGGACCGGAGCGGCATTCTTGAATTATCAAATATGTATAGGAAATGTTTTGGTTGCCCTTAGCACGATCGACTCATTATCTTGTCTCGAATGGTGTCACCGCCCGCAACGTTGCATCATCACGTACCATCAGCGATTTCAGTGTATAACGGAAAGTGGCTGCAGCACAACGCATATTTACAACAAATATAATTTCACAGAACAGCTCAGACAGTTGTGTTCTAGCTCTAAGCCTTTAATATGAATAAGACCTATGATATGACAACGCGAGGTGTGACAATGGTATAAAACACATTTAGAATTTTCCCCTTGCAAACAAGAACGCGGAGACGTTTGTCACTTGCTCATAATAAAGAGGAAACATCCTTTAGTCATCATTAAACCTAATGAGGTGTCTTGAATATACCTATAGAACCCAAACACTTGCTCAAGGACCAGTTTGGAATGTTGTGCAATATTTTGCATTCGTGTCACATATTTCTAAGGTGCACAGCTGAACACAATGTTTGGACATGCACCAAAGGGCATGGCCGCAGAACCAATGTTTGATCTATTTTTTTCTTCTGGCACAGGTGTCAAACTGCTTCGTCGTCCTAGTTTGGAGCCACATACTTAGCTTCATCTTATGTGTTACGTGCGAGCTTCCCACTATGCATCTGGAAAAGATGGTGTTCATGCGGTGGATTAAGAAACAAGGAGCCATGCAGGAACCGAAAGAGGAGCACCATTTTGTGGGAGAAAGAGCATGAAATATCCCTGTTGTAACTATTTATCAACACAAGTTGAAATATCGTAGAACTCAGTGACTTCATGACTAAATGCAACATTTCGTGACAACATGCTTGGATTTGTTGAAAGTCATGTTCCTTGTGGGTACTTGCCTAAAAAGAAAACGCATAAAGCTTGCGTAAAAAGAAAACGCATCACGCAGAAATACGCAAACTTGTCAGGAAACTTGTCTGTTCTCGGATCCTGCAAAAGTATTGCTCTTGTGTTTGTACAACTTTCTATGTTTTCTTTGTTTTTCTATTTAGAAAAATGTCCCCCCCCTCTTATGTAATGCCCCTAAGGGGCCCTTAAGGGTCAAATAAATGATGATGATGATGAAAGCTAGACGCGCTTATAAAATATTTTCTGCTAATTCTAGTTTGGTAAACCACAATCACTTGGATGAAATAACTATTTTAATAAAGGTAACAATGAAATCTGCGAAAGATTTTTTTTGTTAAATTAGGCAAAGACATAAAAGAAAACCCAAAGGCATTATTGAAGTATGTAAAGCAGGACCAAAAAGAAGATATATCTATACCAGCCTTAACTGTCGACGGCAAAGCCATGACGTCAGACTACCAGAGGGCAGAATGTTTTAATCAATATTTTCAATCAGTTTTTCGCATGAAACTGCCGAGCAGGTATCGCTTCTAAACAATGCCGCCCAGAGCAATATTAAGCCAGACATTCAAATTGATGTTGGTGGCGTCGATTCATTATTACGCCGCTTAGATGCAACAAAAGCCATTGGACCTGATGGACTGTCCCGAGTAGTTCCCAAAGAGTGTCATGACGTTATTGCTCCATATTTAGGTATCATCTATGAACTCTCCCTCGAAACTGGTCTTATTCCCCAAGATTGGAAGGCAGTAAACGTTACACCCGTTTTCAAATCTGGGGATAAAAAACTCAGAGAAAATTACAGACCGATCTCATTAACGTTGGTATGTTTCAAAATATTTGAACACATTTTACATACCAGTATACTTAAATTTATTTAAATTCCTTGATTCAGACGCTTTCTCTACTCCCTCCCAGCACGGTTTTCGAAAAGGTTATTCCTGTAAGACACAACTAATAGAATTTCAGCATTTCCTATCCAAAGCGATTGATAACAATAGTCGTGTAGACGCGGTTTTTATAGATTTCCAAAAAGCATTTGACACAGTGTCCCATAAACTCTTGGATGTAAGGCTTGCTGCATTGGGCATAAATAAAAAGGTTCAAAAGCGGATACGTAATAATTTGAATGGTAGAACCCAGTCCGTTGTCTTAAATAATGTCAAATCTTCGTCCATAGCAGTAAATTCGGGCGTTCCCAAAGGGAGCGTTTTAGGACCCTTACTGTTCCTAATCTACATAAACAACATAGTTGAAAAAATTACATCACCCATAAAATTATTTGCTGACGACTGCGTCATATACAGAGAAATCACGACTGAATCTGATACTTGCGTTTTGCAAACTGACCTAGATCACATAGCGGACTGGTGTAAAGAATGGAAAAGGAATTTAAAAATTAAAAAGTGTTGCAGTGTAAGCTTCTCAAGGAAAATATTCAAATCATTTCATCAATATAACATCTATGGCGTACTTATTAACACACACTGCGATTATAAGTATCTCGGTGTTCATTTTAATGAATTGTTTACATGGAACAAACACATTGACACGGCCATAGCAAAAGGTAGAAGGATGTTATACTTTATTCGAAGGAATTTCAAACAGGCGACGCGCGAAATCAAGGAAACTTTATATTTTTTGCAGGTCAAGTCCATACTTGATTATGCATGCGTAGTATGGGACCCCCACCAAGACTATCTTATAAATAAAATAGAAAAACTTTAGAATCAAGCGGCAAGGTTGTTTTAAATAATTATAGCCCCTACGCCAGCGTTTCACAAATGAAGGCTACTTTGGGATGGGATCTGCTACGTGTACGTAGACAGAAACTACAGCTTAAACTGTTGCACCAGATATATTACTCTAACACAGGAATGAATCACCATAGCTACCTTGTTCAACCCCCCTACACATCCACTCGATGTGACAATAGCAAAAAGATATCTACCTTCAAATGCAGATCCAATACTTTTTTCCACTCCTTCTTTCTAAAAACAATAAGAGAGTAGAACAGCTTAAGTGATGATCTTGTTAATATAACAAATATTGATTTATTTTTTTATGCTGTGAAATTCTTCTTGCATTATGTATGTTCTGTGTGTATGAAAATGTATTTTGTGATGCATTATTATGTTTTGATAAATGTGGCGGTGGTTCTTTTTTATTTTCAATTTTTATGTGCATTATGTATTTTGCTACGAATTCCTTTGTACTGACTGTTTTTTATTCCCCCCCTACGTAATGCCTATATGGCGATGTAGGTACTCTGTAAATAAATAAATAACTTTTTTTAAGAAAAACGCTGCCCTCGAATAAAAGTATCTTCAATATTTACGACTTTTTTTTATACAGCTTTAGTGTAGCACGGAACGACACACGGACACTAGTAAGCACTACAAGTCACAACATGCCTAAACTCAAAATCAGACCGCTTATATACTAGGATCACCAGGCAGACATCTGAATACGTGGTGTCGCTCAGAAGATGCTGCGACTTCGCTAAACTTGAATGGTTTTTGGACCATTTTCTGAGTAAACCACGTGTTTGACTGTCTGCCTGACAATTTCAGCATATAGGCGACCCAAGTTTTGAACATAAACATCTTTCTAGCAGCACTTCATCGTATCTTTTTGTGCCTTCTAGTGTGCCTGTCGTTTCGTTATAAGCTGAAGCTATTCAAGTGACACACCAAGCCCATTAGAACACTCATTGTTGTTACCTATTCAGTGAACATGAACACCCGCTGTCATCTAGTTCGAAACCAGTGCGCTAATATAGAGAGTAGCAATGCACCACAAATTAATTCATAGCAGTTTAAGTTTTTTCAGCTTACATAAATGTGCACACACTTAAAAATCCACAAGGTCACACTGATAAAACCCTCCATTAGCCAGTGCTGATCCATAAAAAGCATTACCTCATGACAATGTGTGCACATACCAAACAGCCGCGCGAGGTACAATTAAAACATTTCAATATATCCATGGCGAACACTGCCACAAAGCCATTTGTGTTGCTAGAAGAAACGGAGACACCCGGCCGCGCTGGTCTAGTGGCTAAGGCACTCGGCCGCTGACCCGATGGTTGCGCGATCAAATACCGGCTGCGGCGGCTGCATTTTCGATGTAGGCGAAAAGGCTGTACGCCCGTGTGCTAAACTTGGGTGCAGGTTAAAAACCCTATGTGGTCAAAATTTCCGGAGTCCTCCACAATGGCGTCTATCATAATCATGTAGTGGTTTTAGGACGTTAAACCGCACAATAAATCAATCAAATCAACAGTGACTTACCATTCTGTTACCAACCACAGAATTTTCAATAAAAATATTGACGTGTTTTTTCCCTAAAATAGGGACACGTTGAATAAAATTAAGGAACGAAATATAGCGAATTTCGAAGCATCGACCAACGTGTCACAAAAAAGAAGGCCTCAATAAAAATTTATCATGATGCCATGTTTATCGGTAAGAACAAAAATGGTTCCAGCTTTTTCTTACGTGTTCACTAAATGATGAACATGTGACAATACCTTCAATAAGAGGAAAGACTAAAGACGTACACTTGTTAGTGCCAAACTATTCCTTAACTCACACAGGTAATGCACTGGCCATCGCACCACTCGCAAGATTGTTTTTGTATGTGTGTATACGGGCACGTAAGCTTATTAAGAAACCATTGTGCAGTTGTTTATTCATAAAATTGGTAATTTTTTAATATATTTTTTGTAAGTTGAGATGGGATGTGACTATTTACCAGTTTATTTACGCTGATAAAATCAGAGCGCAGCAAACAGAGCAAGCAAACCAGTCAGTCCTCTTCGTCGTCTTCTGTCCCCAGAATGGTTCAACCTTCATGCGATAACTACGTATCATTACCCGCCGGTTGTAAAAGCACCGGCTCGGCGCACTTTATACGTGTTCCTCAGAAGGAGGGTGGTATGGTTTCTACCTACTGACGTGGAATACGTCACTGGGGGTGTTTGCGGACAGGCTAGATCCGAAGACAGGAATGACCTCATAGGTGACGTCCGTTACCCGTCGCATGATACGTTAAGGTGTCTTGTACGGACATAGCAACTTCTCATACAATCCAACACGACAAACTGGGCACCGGAGAAGAACTAGAGGATCAGGTGAAAAGTCAACATCGATATGCTTGCTGTCGTAGAGAGCCTTCTGGGCTGCTTTTGAAGCAAACAGCCTAGAGCGGGCAAACTGACGTGCGTGGTCGGCACGAGCGATAGCATCACGTGCGTATTCGCACGGCGGAGGTGCAGTAGTCGGTAGTATGGTGTCCAGTGGTAAGGCCAGATAACGGCCATAAAGCATATAAAAAGGTGAATAACCTGCTGCGTCATGACGAGATGAATTATAGACGAACGTCTGTCACACAGGTCCCGTTAATTAGGGAGGCGATCGCCGGGCTAATTCCAAGAGCCGAAGTATCGGCCCCCCGAACCGCACCACGAAAGCGTGGACAATTTAGAAGTGGTCCTTTTTGGTGCGCCAGTGGACGCCGGCTGTGGCCCAAAGAACAACTCAGAGCCGAGAGTTGATAAACAAACAAAATTATATTCACAATAATGGCAGATCGAAAACAATGAACAAGAATGCGCACTCCCCAATAGTTGAGTACAATATGTCTCCAATCAAACAACGTACTACACAGTACAGTCAGCCACACTCGAAACAACGGACACAGACAACAATACGCACTACAATGCAGTCACACGCATTGAACAACCAAGACACTTAAAGACTAGAGAGATAGAAAACCTATTCAGTCCAAAGTTCTTGGAACAAAAGTCTGGATGATACTCTTCCGAGAATCACTCACTCAAAGCCCAGCGTTGTTGTCGATCCGTCGCCCCCGAAGTTTCTCTTCCAGGAAACCTCGCCGAAGTTTCTCTTCAAGGAAACCTCACGTTTTCAATTGGTCACTCTCCAAGCTTCAAACTTTTTCGCCGGAAACACGTCGGCTTCACACACGCAGCTGTTGCCACGCGTCTTCGCTCGATAGCGGTAAACACACACTCTTGCCTGTAGCTTGAGTCGTCACCCGTCAGGTGGAAATCATCTTCTTCTCCTGCTTTGTCTCCACGGACAAAACCTTCGCCGACTACACGGCGGAATCCCTACGCGCTCTGGCGCTAACTTCGGTCTTCTCCTGATCTCTCACCTAGGCTGCTCGATTAAATACCCTCCGCGTGAGATTCCAGAAAGTTCTCGTCATTTCGTCGGCGCGATACGCAGCGAAGGCTGGGTAGAGAACGAGACGGCTCGAAGGCCGTCCGCGATGGATGACTCAACCCGGCATGACCACGCCTCTTTCCTTCTAGAAATTTCGAGTGCTTGCTCGGCCGCCGATGTGGGGTGAAGAGGTTCGTCGGCGAAGCCACACTTCCGAGAGGAGAGGGAGCGTGTCCGGGGAGCTTCTTTTCTTTTTTCTCCTTTTCTTTTGACCTCGCGGCGTCACTCCGGCGTTTCGTAGCGGGAATTTGGCGGCGCGCCCTTTTTGAGCGCTCGTTCTGTGACACTGCCCCCCACTTTAAGAATATTATCTCATAATATTCAAAACCACACAAACGAGCGCGAACAGTCACCACACACTTAAAGACTGTAACATAGTCCGTCGCTCATGACACGTCACATTCACAATATATCACTCAATACAACTGTACATTGCAATTCAATTCCACAACACATGAAATATAGCCACAGGTACATGAATGCAACACTCCATCACATATTCCAAACAATACAAATGTACAAAGTTCTCTCATTACAACAATTATACAATACTACACATCACATCACCGTAACCAACATTTTGACTCGCTCGACATACAGTTGTGACACAGGACAACAAGAACATTAACACAACATATGGCACTCAGCCCTGCCAAACACAATTCGATCCCACCTCAGCACCTATCCTGTGTATTTCGAGCAGCGCTTGCGCCCTTTCTTGCGGTGCTCTCTCGATCTCTTATTGTTTTTGCTCGTTTTGTTCCGGCGTGCCCCTTCCAATGACGGTATCTGAGGCAGCGTCTCAGCCATCGTTGTCACTTCCGACACTGCTAACGGGTCATGACGCTCAACCGATCCTGCTCGGTTATTCACCCGCTTGTTCGCGTCACGACATTGGGCCTGGCTGGCCGACTCCGTCATCTTTACATTGTCGGTCAGTTGAGGTCGAGCCGAAGTAAGTCCAGTTGTTCAGCCCGTGAACTCATTCAACACGATCATCTTCTCATTCGCTGTCTCTTGCTCCGCGGCTTCACCTTGGGCTCTAGTGAGATCCGTCACGGGCTGCTCCTCCACTGTATCTCGCGGTCGCTGGGTTGGCGAGGGCTCTATCTTGGGGTGTTCTCCCAAAAATTCCGGATCATTCGGTCCTCGCGCCCCGTCGATGTTTCCGATGACAAGGTCGTACAGGGGGGTCGTCATGCATAAATCAGTAACCTTCCCGCTGAAGTACGGAGTTTCAACCTCAATTTCTGCTTCGGGAAGCACCCGAACCGTACGGTCAATTAGGCAAAGTGGTTTAGTTTTGCCTGTTAACTCATCTTCCCGTACCAAATTTCTCCGCACGATAACAGTGGAGCTACCGGTGTCTCTTAACACCGTAACCTTCTTGCCCGCAACTTTTCCAGGCAGCGTTGGCATTCCCTTCGTAACACCGGTTGGCTGTTTTGCCATTACAGCACCCACAATAGGAATTTTCTCCCAATTTTTCAACTCTACAAATCCGTCGGTGACGGCATTATCATCGGATTTCGGTGCTGCTAGCACACAGGACACCTGGTGAATTTGAGTCGCTCCGTTTCGACATGCGTCTGCTTTGTGCCCAGTCTGACCACACTTGAAACACTTTACAACCGTGGGGCTCGTGAAGTTAGTTCGGCAGTTTTTAGCGCGGTGACCCACTCGGTTACACAGAAAACATCGCGGAATGTTCTCCGGTGCACGCTTCTTTTCTTCGGGAGCCGATTTCTTCGAATATTCAGGACACTCCTTCTTGACCTTGGCCAAATTAATGCCACCTTGCGCTTCCGAGAATTGATCAGCCAATTCAAGCATTCCTTCAAGTGACTCAGCCTTCCTCTCTTTCAAGTACAGCGACAGGCTTGGGTGGCAACTAGTAAGAAATTGTTCTCTAGTTAGGAGCTCTCTAAGCTCATCGTACTCCTGCGCTGTCCCTGAAAGTTCAATCCATCTGTCGAAATGATGGCAAAGTCGGGCAGCATACTGCGTAGCCGTCTCACCATCAGCTGGCTTTCCTGTCCGAAATCTGTCGCGGAATCCTTCCACAGTAAATCTAAATCGCT